GGTGGACTCTGACGCCTGTCCCTCGCGAAAGGCAGCGGCAGCGACCGAGCCGCCAGAGCCTCCCGAGGTCCACAACATCGATGACGAGGTTGACCCGCGGAAAGAGGATGAGACATCTGCTTCCAAAGAGAGACATCCGAGCGGTGTCCCGATGCCATTCATCGGCCCCGCGCGGCCGCCGCCCGCCGCCGCCGCCGGGCGGGCCTTGCCGCCGCGGCCCAAGCCGCTGCACCTGCCGCAGGGGGAGCAACGCCGCTCCTCCTCCTACTCGCAATCTCCGTGGCTCATGTCCAGGACGAAGCCGCGGAGCGAAAGCAACAACCAGGACATTCGCAGGAACTTTATTGGTGGCGCGTTTCCGAACGGCGGGGGCCGTAGACTCGGAGGAAACAGCTGGAAGAGTGGTCCTGGGGCTACCAGCCGGGGTGGCAGTAGTGGGTCTGCGTCTGGGCTAGGCGGCGGCGCTACGAAGGGGTCGGGCGGGCAGAAGACTATATTATCGTCCTGGGAGAAGAAACCCTCATCGTGTTCTCACAACGGTGCCGGTAGCGGCGGCGGCGGCGGCAACAGCTCCGGAGACGAAGTAGAGTGGAGACCGCCGGGAAAGGCCGCGGCGGCGGCGGTGGCGGCGGCGGCGGCGGGCGGAGGCGGTGGCCGAGGGGGGCTCCGCAGTAGTGGTCGCGGGGGGAAGGTGTTGGAGGACCTCACCGGAGCGGACGAAGTGTGGGAGGACATGGGAGACCTGAAGAGTGCCGGTGTAGGCGGCGGAGGGTCGGCGTCAAGTGTTGCCGGCGGCGGCCTGGGCGATGGGACCTTGAGGACCATTCGAGGCATCAACCTCCAGCAGGATCACTTCGAACGTATCGTGGACAGCGACGGCTGGCTAACATCCCAGGTGATGTTGTGTGGCGTCTCGAGCCATGCATGCGCAGGAAGTGTATGCTGGCTGGGAATAGAAGGATCACCTGAAGCAAGCTCAATTTTTGTTTCTTTGGGGGGGGGGGAGGGAGGGGGGGTCGTTCGTCTTTTGTAAGTACTCAACGAAAGGTGCGCCCACATGCCCGCCTTCGTCTTGCTCCGGGGTTGTTTGGTTTATTCTTCTACCTGCTTTCCAACCGTTTGTCTCGTCGGGCGCCGGTAGATCATCGACATCCGCGTGAAGCAGCTACAGGACAGGTACCCGCAGCACCTGTACTTCGACTCGTCCTTCTTCGGCTTCCTGTGCCCCACGACAGAGAAGGTGAGAGAGATTCCAAGCCGTCCGTCCGTGTGTGTGGATTTGTGATTCTTGTGGTTGTTCCAGCAGGCACTGCACTGTGAGACTGCGAGCCGCGTGTGGACGATTGTGATTCTTTGGTTGTTCCAGCAGGCACTACACTGTGAGACTTCAAGTCGCGTGTGGAGCTTTTGTCATGGGAAATAGACACAAGTGGGTATACCCACCCCTTTCTCGGACAAAAGTGGGTACTCGAAAATCCAGCGCGCGCGCACTCCATAGGCGACCCCCAAACGACTCATAACCCCATTCTGACACCTGGGCGACACAGCCAGGGACCATACACAGCACGGGCATCGATTATTTCCCACTTTTAGGCACATCTTTGGCCCTAATACCGCCGATGCGCGCAAGGCCTCACCAGAGTGCCCACTTGTGTCCGACATCGCGGTGGGTATACCCACCGGCGTCAACTAATGTTTTCATGTACCCACTTATGTCTGTATTTTGACCCACTTTTGTCCAAATTGTACCCACTTTTGTCCACTTACGGACGGCGAAAATCGAGCGGAAATCGACCTCCACGTCACCGCACGGCAGAACATCGAATAGCCTCGGAACGTCTCAGAACCTCCCGAAACCGTATCCATGGCATCTTTCCTATCCATGGCTGCCGACTGCGGACCGACCACGGAGGAACATGTCAGAAACATGCCAGACCCCTTCGGTACCGGCACGGGAAGATACCAGGCACGGGGAGATACCCGCGGCAAGCCTACTGCTGCCGTGACGAGTCGGTGTGCACTCGTCGTGGTGGTTGGTGTTTTTGTGTGTGTGTGTTGTTGCTGTTTGCGCGTCTTTTTGTTCTGTATGCGCGACCCGTTGGTTGTGTTGTCCGTTGTGTGTCACGCATTTATTTGTGGCGTGACGTTAGTGCGCTGCTTGCCGGGCTTGCCGCGGGTATCTCCCCGTGCCGGTACCGAAGGGGTCTGGCATGTTTCTGACATGTTCTTCCGTGGTCGGTCCGCAGTCGGCAGCCATGGATAGGAAAGATGCCATGGATACGGTTTCGGGAGGTTCTGAGACGTTCCGAGGCTATTCGATGTTCTGCCGTGCGGTGACGTGGAGGTCGATTTCCGCTCGATTTTCGCCGTCCGTAAGTGGACAAAAGTGGGTACAATTTGGACAAAAGTGGGTCAAAATACAGACATAAGTGGGTACATGAAAACATTAGTTGACGCCGGTGGGTATACCCACCGCGATGTCGGACACAAGTGGGCACTCTGGTGAGGCCTTGCGCGCATCGGCGGTATTAGGGCCAAAGATGTGCCTAAAAGTGGGAAATAATCGATGCCCGTGCTGTGTATGGTCCCTGGCTGTGTCGCCCAGGTGTCAGAATGGGGTTATGAGTCGTTTGGGGGTCGCCTATGGAGTGCGCGCGCGCTGGATTTTCGAGTACCCACTTTTGTCCGAGAAAGGGGTGGGTACCCACTTGTGTCTATTTCCCTTTTGTCATTCTTGTGGTTGTTCCAGCAGGCACTACACTGTAAGACTCCGAGCTGTGTGTGGAGGTTTTATTATTCTTGTTGTTGATGCAGCAGGTATCATACTACTGCTGCCTTTTTGGGTGTTC